GGATGGATAGATAGATAGATAGATAGATAGATAGATAGATAGATAGATAGATAGATAGATAGATAGATAGATAGATAGATAGATAGATAGATAGATAGATAGATAGATAGATAGATAGATAGATAGATAAATAATTTTTAAAACTGTTGGATCACTTAATAGTTTTAGTTGTTGGAAGCTGCCTCGGGTTCCCTAAAGGCAATATATAAATAATATAAACACGCATACACTCACTCACGTATACACACCGCTCTCCCACTATACGTTTTTCTGAAAACCAGTTTAAAAAAATTAGAGAACAGACTTTTGAAAAGAGGATCATTTGAAAATCAGATCAAAACAGACTTGATTGTGGAACCATCAGATCTAGGACCTGGCCACTAGAAAGGAAAACTGCAACATGGCAAATCGTGGTTGTAGTCTACAGTGTCATTTCTGCAAACAGGACTGTACGGAGGGAATATAAGTCAGCATGCCACAGAGTGGAAATAGACTAGTATGTACATTCCTAAGCTAGCAGCAAGGTAAATATACAGTTTACTAACACATCTCCAGGCAGTCTCCAGAAACACCTCAGAATTTGTTATCACGATGCTACCTGCATTTTTCATTTTCCCTCAGTGCAAAAGCACAACATTAAACTTTCAGAGTTCTCAGTTTTAATGGTAGAATAAATCCTTTAAAATTAGGATAGCTGGCTTTCTTTGCTGACATAATGTACTTCTATTACATTTTATGGCCCCTTTCCCACTTCCAAATGAAACGTTTTTATGATTTTCCATGTAAATCTCTTAAGGTTTACAGTTCTTGTGGTTTCAAGGATGTAAAGCTGCTTCTCAGTTTATACAATCAAGTAGTTTTAATTTATGTGAAATGTTGCAGCATGCGAAACAGAAAAGGAAGAGAACGGATTTTAATTATTTGGTGATATCCAAAATTGGTACTCCACTAGGATGAATCCATACTATCAGCAATGCAACTTGAACTGGGTTGCATTCCCCCAATGGATCTTCTTCTGTAGGTTGTCATTAAGGATGTATTATAGTCCCCAGTGGATCCATCCATGTCTGACTAAGGGCCCACATATTGGTGACTCCCCTGTACTCTTTTAAAGACACTCCAACCTAACCTTTGCATGTGCCAGGATTTGTACACTTCTGGATCCCTGGGAAGAGAACTGTTCCCATAAATTGGGAAACACAAACAGCTGTGACATTGGGTGGGCGGTTACATGCCACCACAATTAGTTGTGGCTGAATTATTTGCTCACCTTGAGCCCAGAGAACACAAGTAAAAGTGAAGAAGGAGATAGCTTTTATGAACTTTGGCAGTGGTAGAGTGGCACTACCAAACCATGGTAGGGAAGGGGCAAAACTCAGACCCCTAAAGGGAAATTCTGACCTTGCCACTCAAACCCCATACAAGAATGCAGGCATTCATCCACACACAAACACATTCAAACCCAGTAGTAGTAGTTCTTAAGAGGAAGGTGGCTCGGGCATGTTGTGAGAATGGCTGATGGTCGGATTATGAAAGCTCTCCTGTATGGAGAATTAGTGCAGGGAAAGCGCCCCAGAGGGACACCACAGCTGCGATACAAGGAGATCTGCAAGCGGGATCTGAAGGCCTTAGGAATGGACCTCAACAGATGGGAAAACTTGATATCTGAGCGTTCAGCCTGGAGGCAGGCACTGCATCACGGCCTCTCCCAATTTGAAGAGACCCTTGTCCAGCAGGCCGAGGCAAAGAGGAAGTTGCAAAATCAGCAAAATGGGGACAGATTGTATTTGTCTTCAGTGTGGAAGGAATGGTCACTCTCGAATTGGCCTTCTCAGCCACACTAGACGCTGTTTCAAGTCCTCCATGCAGAGCATGATACCATAGTCTCTCGAGACCGAAGGATTCCTAATCTAAACAATGATGATGATGATGATGGTTATTATATAACAGATATACGTTTTAAAATAAAACCTAAATATCTGTTAAATAGCGCGGTATGTATGATATTTCACAATATTGTCATTTTTTGGTAACTCTGATGATGTTAGAGTGGGCCTTCTAATGAAAGAGGGCCTTCTCTGTGGCTGCTCCCAGACTCCATCTTTGGCCTAATGAAAGAGGGCCTTCTCTGTGGCTGCTCCCAGACTCTGGAACTCCTCCCACAGGAAGCCAGCCTGGCTCCATCTTTGGTGTCCTTCCGCAGGCAGGCAAAGGCTTTTCCTTAGTGAATGGCAGTCCGAAAGGGGTTTTCAGTGGAATGGTTGTGTTCTGTTGTTTTAAATGTCTCTTACTATTGATTGATTACTGTTTTTAATCTAATACTTGTTTAATTCTTTTTAAATATTTGTATATCTACTGTTTGTAGCTTCTGCATGTTGTCTTTTTAATGACGTAAACCACCTTGATTTCTTTTAAAGGAGAAAGGCGGTTAAAAGTATATTTAAATAAAGAAATAAATAATTTATGATCATCATCGTCATCGTTATCATTATGCAGAAGTACTTTATTTTGTCTATCTCAAACTAGCCCAGTCTCATCATACCAGGGACAGGCAGGCTCATGAAACTTGGGAATTCCATGATCTAGTTTCCAATGGGCCACATGGAAATTACTGCAACCAACCAACCAACATGGGATATAAACATAGCTAATAAATATATCTGAGGGATAAGGTCTGATTATTCTTAGCACTGAAAATAAGAATCAACTCTCTACATCGGCCCTGCATATGCATCACCCAGTTATAGGTTGAAGGGACAAAAACAAGTTACGGTAATTATAATTAGATACATTTAAAAAGATACATTCCCATGGCTCAACAATAAGTAAAATGCTACCCTCTCTTTTTTAGTTACACGGTGGTGGTGGGGAATCTGAATGCTACAAGCTTCTTGTTATAGTGGTTGAACTGCAGTACTGCAGAGAAGACTCTGCTCACAACCTGAGTCTGATCCCAACTGACTCCGCCTTCCATCCTTCTGAGGTCAGTTCATTGAGTACCCAGCTCTGTTGGGAATGAAGCAATTTGTAACCTGCATAATTAAATTGTATACTGCCTGGTGAGTGGTTTAAGGCTTATGGGGCAATCTATAAGCAGTACACTTTACACTTAGTGGTTGCTCCGTTGAGCGAAGAAATCGCTTAGCGATGGACTTTTTGCTATCGCAAAAGGGATTGCTTAGCGATGGTCCCTATGGGGAAAATTCGCTTTGTGATGATCGCGGGGAAGCGATCATGGCAAAGCGACCCTTTTTAACAGCTGATTGGCGGTTTCAAAATGGCCGCCAGAAAAACAAAATGGCCGCCCGCTGTTTTGCCTCGCTTAAGAGGCAGCGAAAATTGGAGGATTTTCACTGAAAGGTAAGTTTTTAAGCCCATAGGAATGCATTAAACACGTTTTAATGTGTTTCTATGGGCTTTTTAAAATCGCTTAGTGATGAAAGGGATTAACGTCGCTAAGCGAGGCACCACTGTACTTTTTTGCTTTGCTAAGGCCTCTGTACAAAACACACACTCCCCTCATCTACCTTGCTGTTGCCTCCTCACTCACGATGAAAGTGACCTCTGAACCATGAGATATCCCTCCTCCATCCTTTAGGGTGGCCACACCCCTTGTAGCTACAGAAAGAACTGAAGAGTCACAGTTACCATGACAGAATCTGCCCCATCCCCCTTTAAAGGCATCTAGGCCAGATGCCATCACCACCAAATCCCTTCTACAAACACCACATTGAAGGCAACCCTTCATACTAGTTGGAATCCTGTTGCATAAGAAAGAATGGGGCACTGGACTAGGCCTACTGAATCAGGTGGTGAGTCTTTTCCTCTTTATTCAAATAGACCTATTCTAGTTGGGACTACTATGGTAAGCAACAGGATTTCAGCCCAGATAGGCACAGCGAGTCACCACGACCCAGCGCACACTTCCATATATTTTCCCTGTAACATCTCATCCACCTACTTCATCAAAGATTCTCTCTATGATTTTGTAGCCTATCTTGAACAGGAAAAAAAAAATGAGGGAAAGTCTCCACGTGTTTTTCTCGGTGTGGGTGGGGGGTGGGGGAACCACACACACACGCACACGCACACGCACACGCACACACACACACACACACACAAATGGGGGGGGTAACAGCCCATGGAAATTCTCCAATGGGCAAAACTGGCCCCTAAAGAACTACACCTTACTCTACATAATTGAAATTCTAGATCACATGCATTGCATAAATTGGGTGAAAATTGATGCTGGTCTCGAAGGTCTCCCAAAACGGTTGTTTTTGTTGTAAAATGAGATGGGCATGAACTGCCAATTTGGTGGTTTGCGCTGGTTATTGTTCGAAGAGATGGGCATGAACTGCCAATTTGGTGGTTTGCGCTGGTTCGTTTATTGTTCGAACAGGCGTGCGGTGCTTCAAAGCCTCACCTTCACCAGCAGGCGCCCACTTAAAAGCCACGCCTAGAAGAGTTGGGGCAGAGAAGCCAGGCTGCTTGTCTCCGAGTGGTCACCTGCAAGAGGAAGTGGGCATCTAAAATGCCAGACACTGCTTGGCCAATGAACGAACCAACCAAACTGGCAGTTCGCACCCATCTCTACCTTTACAGCTAATCCGTTATGTATAATATCCTTCCATGAACAAGGTACAACTGGACTGGTGAGCAAAACAGAATGCTATCACATCCAGCCTCAGCTTGAGGAACCTAGCCCTTCAGAAGAGCAAGAACAGGTACCTTGGCCGACGTTTCGAACCACCCCACAAAGCCATTCTCCTGGCAGAACTGCTCCATCTTGATGCCGTTGTTCACCAGAACCTCATTGGTTTGGTCACATTTGTTTGCCAAGAGAATTGTAGGCACCGGTTGCCCACTAGGAAGTGTCAGCTTCGCATCCAGATCCTCCTTCCATTTGGTTACTGCTTCAAATGTCGCCGGCCTTGTCACATCGAAAACAATGAACGCTCCCATGGCTTCTCGGTAATAGACTCGGGTCATGTTCCCAAATCTTTCCTGACCTGCAACCATAAGAAATAAAAATATAAACAACATTTGTAAAACCGTGGCCGCGTATGCAAAATGCAGCCTCCTGTGGTGACCAATTTCAAAAGCTGATGTTTTGAAAAAGTTCATTTCCTGAGTTCAGACTGAAAGTCAAATTATTTGCTTTGCTTGAGAACCAGTACTTGGAAATACAGTACTAACATTTTTACTACTATTTTTTGACATTCTAAAAACTTTAATCCATAAAAGCAAGTTTCATGCTCTGCTGAGAATTTATAGTGACTATAAAAGGTAAAGGTAAAGGTTCCCCTTGACATTTAGTCCAGTCGTGTTCAACTCTAGGGCGCCATGCTCATCCCCGTTTCTAAGCCGTAGAGCCAGCCTTTGTCTGTAGACAGTTTCTGTTGTCACATAGCCATTGTGACTAGACACAGAATGCCATTACCTTCCCACCGAAGTGGTACCTATTTATCTACTTGCATTTGTACATGCTTTCAAACTGCTAGGTTGTCAGGAGCTGGGACAAGTGATGGGCGCTCACTCTGTCACGTGGACTCGATCTTACAACTGCTTGGTCTTCTGACCTTGCAGCACAGAGGCTTCTGTGGTTTAACCCGCAGCGCCACCACGTCCCTAAACTATATTCAAATATTGTTATATTGAAGCAGACCTTTTCTCCCTAAACTTAATGGCCTTAATGCACCTGGCAGTCTCAGCTAGAGTGTGTATCCTGTGCCCTCAAATCAGCAACCCTAAAAGTGCTTTCAGGGTTATATTTAAGGAGTGGTTTTACCTGTGAGATATTTAAGGAGTGGTTTCGCCTTTTCCCCTCCCAGTGAGCTTCTGTGACCAAGTGGAGATTCGAATCCTGTGCTCCAGAGCCCTAGTCTATCACTCTATCCACTACACCACACTGGGAATAACCCCAGCTAGAATAGACACACTGGATTGATGGAGTTTACACAAATATTGACTCATCACTCATCAGCTGATTCAATGGGACTACTCTGTCTCAGACAAACAGCTGCATTTAGGCCCATCTTTTTAATTGTTTCTTACTTAATCATTAAATTTAGACCTAGCAGTGATGGTCCAGGTAAACTCACACTTTTTTTTTAATTCCAGAGGTTAAGGATTAAATGGCTACCTATTCCACATTCAAAAGCAAACTGGACTTGTGAATTTTTCTTTTAAACACAACTTGTATATAACAACTGAAATAGCTGTTTACAACATACTTTGGGGGGCAATGATGTACTGGAGGCTGACAGCTTAATGTGCTTTGAGTTTTAGTGTGAACGTTATAAGAAGTATCCAAAGTGCTGAATCTATTGTAGACTTTAGATTCAGTACACCGGACAGCTCCTGTGAAGTCTAGACTAAAAGCCAGAGAGTAATTGCACTGCTTCCATATAATCAGCATCGCAAGCATTCACTGCAATGAGTTGCTTTAAACTAATGTTGATGTTAATGGCAATGATTTCCAAAGCAGTACAACAAGTCACGGAGATAGGTGACTTTTTAAAAGTAACTCCCCACAGTGTTGTTTTTTAAGTCCCAATCTAAATCACTATGTAGAAACCATTTTTGACCAAAATGATTCCATCTCTAATAATAGTACTTATTGTGAAGAATATAAATTAAGGATGTAGCAAACAGGGATGCATTGTTTGGCATGGGGAAATCATGTCATTAAACATGCCAAAGCGTGCACATTCAGAGATGAGCAAAAAGGTCACTTCACTTATACAAAGTTGCAGAGGGGGGACAAAGCTATGACTGCCACTCTGGAGGAACCAGAGTCACTTAAGACAAGCACTGCAAACAATCTTAGAGATATCCGTAAGATCTCTCAGAATTGTCAGTGTTACATCGTGTTGAGATTTTTTTAAAAAATAAATCTCCAGCATTTGGAAAATGGAGCTGTTCTGGTCTGCTCTTTTTGCTGGGGAAAGAGGTGCCAGCTGAGCATTGAGGTGGTGGTGGGCAAAAACAACTTGGAGGCCATACAGTGATGCCTCGTAAGACAAAAATAATTTGTTCCGTGAGTCGTTTCATATTGTGAAAATTTCATCTTGCGAAGGGCGGTTTCCCATAGGAATGATAATTAATGTGTTCCTATTCGTCTTGCAAAGCACAGCAATAGAAAAATTTGTCTTGCGAGACACACACACAAAAAATCATTAATGTGTTCCTATTCGTCTTGCAAAGCCACAGCAATAGAAAAAATTGTCTTGCGAGACACACACACAAAAATCGCGGAACGCTTTCATCTTGTTTTTCGTTGTGCGAGGCATTCGTCTTGCGAGGCATCACTGTATTTTGCCCGCCCTTGACATTGGACTCTGGGTGGGAAAACAGCAGAGATTGTCCCTCTCTCCCCCACCCCTATTCCTACTGCCTGATGCAAACACTTCAATCTGCCCCATGGTAGAGCCAACACATATTCAGGCAGCTGTGGTGACTCCAGGTGCAGGGGTATTGCAAATCTACTGTTCCTATTTGTAGAAGAGAGTTCAGAACCTTGGACAGCTCATACACATTACAGACTAAAACCCAAAAGGGATTCTTAGCACTCCCAAATCTGAAATTATCAGCTGCCCCTGGGCTTTGGGCCCATGAAACTCCACTTCAGAAAAATCTAGCAGCAGTTGTTTGTATGCACAGATACATTTCATCTCTGAGTTCTTCTTGCACAAAGCAAAGCTTGCTTTAACACTTGCACCACAGGCCAGAGAACAATGAGAATGGGTGAACTCCTGGCACTCAGATTTCTTTGGATCTTGCCCATGGCCCCTGTAGAACTTGAGACTCACAAAGGGAAATTGGATCACTCCATGAACCTGTAAAATAATGCAACATGGTAGAACATGCTGGGAGATAGGAAGTGAGGGGAAAGATACAGAAAACAAGAACGAACTCATCAAAGCACAAACGTGTCCCATCTTGAAGCGACAAATTATTGTGATGTGGCCAGGTTTGATCACCCGGCAGATCAAGCTGTGAACAGACATTCACTCTAAAACAGATCGCTGAAAAAGCTATTACTTGGCAAACCTCATCTTAAAATCAATTCTATTGCTTGATTTTTTTTTCTTCTTCTATAAAGCAAATGAACCCATCAACAAAGTTTCTTGGTGAAAGAACGGTAGGCGCACCGAAACGCTGATAAAAATGAATCAATGCTTTTTATGAGGGAAACAAAGGTAAATAGTAAGTGCTGGTGTGTGGTAGGATGCAGCAACTGGAATGGGAGGGGCTAAACTGGGTGGTCCCAAGAGCATCTGCCCTGGCAATGTTGGCGTTCCAGGTCAGGCTAAACTGGGTGGTCCCAAGAGCATCTGTCCTGGCAATGTTGGCGTTCTGGGTCAAAGTCTGAGTCTTTGGTAGATAAAGGTTCCCCTTGTTAAAAACAAGCTTTTTCCCCAAGAAAAAAAGGGAGAGGTAGGTGGATTCCAAGTCGCAAGTAGGATCTGAGTCAATGAACAACAACAGCAACTAAACAAGTTGAGTCCGAGTCAAGTTGTTGGTGCAACTTAAGTCCAACTTGATTGTGAGTCGTGTGACTTAAGTCTCCATCACTGGAAGACTTAAGTCTCCATAAACTGGAAGCAGCCATTAAAGCAGTAATCCAGTACTGCCAAGCACCTGGGAAGAAGAGTTAAAAGCAATGCTTAATGTGCTTGATACGAAACTCATGTTCGTGGTCCTCATCTCCTTTTCCAATCCATAGAGCCAGCTTTTGTCCAAAGACAGTTTCCTTGGTCACGTGGCCAGCATGACTAGACATGGAACGCTGTTACCAAGCCCCAAATCTCTATTAAAAACAGTCTCCATCGGTGGTATACACTGGAAGCAGCCATTAAAGCAGTAACCCAATACTGCAAAACACCTTGGAAGAAGAGTTAAAAGCAATGCTTAATGTGCTTGATACGTACGGATCATAGGCCAGACTCAAGCCATAACTTGTGTTCATCTGACAGGCAAACCATGACACACTACAAACAGGCAGCCACTAAAAGGAGAAAACACTGAATTGCTTCAGTCATGAAATCCCTTCCTAGCATCATGTCCTCAAGGTGCAAATTAAGCTGGTTTTCAATTCCTGTTGATCAGTCAAGAAAACAAAATGCCTAATATGCAAAATAAGGGAGATCAGAAAGATCAGAAGGATCAGTATCAAATGGATTTTAGCATTCCAGGATCGGATAGGATAGGATACAACTCTACAGCTGGAAGGGACTCCCAGGATCATTTAGTTCTGGTCACTGCACCTCAAAAAAGATAGCATGGAACTGGAAAATGTGCAAAAGAGAGTGACAAAAATGATGACTGGTCTGGGGCACCTCCCTTATGATGAAAGGCTACAGCGTTTAGGGCTCTTTAGTCTAGAGAAAGTAGGCAACTGAGGGGAGACATAATGGAGATGTATAAAACTCTGAAGGGAATGGATAAAGTGGACAGAGGGAAGCTCTTTTTCCTCTCACACAACACCAGAACCAGGGGACATCCACTCCAATGGAGTGTTGGGAAAGTGAGAACAGGCCAAAGAAAATCTTTCTTGGCCCAGAGTGTTTTTAGTCTGTGGAACTCCTTGCCATGAGATGTGGTGATGGCATCTGGCCTAAATGCTTTTAAAAGGGGATTGGACAGATTGACAGAGGAAAAGTCCATCACAGGTGACAAGCCATGATGGGGATGTGTAATCTCCAGGCTTAAAAGGAAGGGACCTCCAAAGGCCAGATGCAGGAGAGGGGAATCAGGCAACTGTTATATCTAGTTGTCTCGCGTGCTCCCAGAGGCATCTGGTGGGGCCATGGTGAGATACAAGAAGATGGACTAGAAGATTGAGCAGCACTCTTCTTATGTTCTTATGTTCATTTAGTACATGCTGAACCTGGAAATCCACAGCTGGAGCATCTCTGAAAGGTGGCCACCTAACATCTGTTTTAAAACTTCCAATGAACAGAGATGAGCACTTACTGTGGTTCAATGTGGTTCCGTCAATCAGGTC